AGGTGCAGAGGTGCGGAGACAAAGAATGACCTTGGGCTTCTAGAAAGGAATGTTCTATTTTGACACCTTTGTGAGTTTCCATCCATTATTCCTTGTCTGACCTTCAGGTGCTTTGGAAAATATCTTGACCCCTTCTCTCTGTGGCAGCCCCTCAAATATTGGAAGACTTCTATCCTGTCTTCCCTGGTCCTTCTCTTCACTAGACTAGCCAGGCCCAGTTCCTGCAACCACTCTTCATATGTTTTAGCCTCCAGTCCCCTAATCATCCTGGTTGCTCTTCTCTGCCCTTTTTCTAGAGTCTCAACATCTGTTTTATAGTGTGGTGACCAAAACTGGAGGCATTACTCAAGGTGTGGTCTTACTTTATAGAGTGGTATTAGTACCTCCCTTGATCTTGATTGTATCCTTCTATTAATGCAATTTAGGATTGCATTGGCTTTTTTTGCAAACTGCTGGCTCATATTTAGCTGGTTTTCCACTAAGACTCCAAGATCCCTCTCACTATTACTGCTATTAAGCCGGGTTTCACCCAGTCTATATGTGTTAGAAACCTTCCCCAAACATCTGGTTTCTCTCTGCAGCCTCCATGCCTTTCTCTCAGCCCCAAAACAGCCCTGGGATGACAATGACCCTAGAGATGTCCTTATCCTTTGAAGGCCAAAGTGCATTTTGACCATTTTGAGAACATGCCATGCCCACTCATCTAAAATATCTTTCATAAGGATGTGATCAGTTGCAAAACATCCATATAAAGAATAGAGTGGCGATATTGCTTCCAATATTCTCCACTATTTCAACATCATTTTTAATTATTATTTTTTATGAGCAGGTAGTTGTCAGGCACAAAAGATGAAGTCCACCCATGAAGGTCCAATTAAACTGATTTATTGCTATTCATGCCTATGCAAGGGAATCTTCTCAACTAACTGTTAGCACCTGCTAGAGCTGGATAAGGGTCAACAGAATTCAAGATGGTTGGACTTGTTTCACTTATTTTGAGCCGTAATGGCACAGTAGTTAGAGTGCAGCACTGCAGGCTATTTCTGCTGACTGCCGGCTGCCTGCAATTTGGCAGATCGAATCTCACCAGGCTCAAGGTTGACTCAACCTTCCATCCTTCAGAGGTGGGTCAAATCACCCAGATCAGTGGTGAGTTCCTACCAGTTTGGACAGGTTTGGCCAAACCGTTAGTGGTTTGGTGATCTGGGTTGCTGGAACCGGTAGTGACCCAGGCCTGCCACCCCTCTGATCTGGTTCTCCATCTTGTTTTTCAGTTCTGCACATAAGCAGAACATTTTTTATTGTACTGCGCATGTGCGCGCAGCGTGCATCAAGCATATATACGCACCAGTGGTGGGATTCAAGTGATTTAACAACCGGTTCTCTGCCCTAATGA